GAGTTACTGGTTAATTGTCTCCTGCAAGAATCGTTCTCCCCTTGCACCATTGTTTCAGAGCAGGTGTCAGGCACTGTCAGTGTTTAAATGAGTAGAAATTTGCTGTCACTTGATGGCAGTGATGCAGCAACTTAGCCTAAAATACTTGTTGCATCTGCATGGGGACAGATGTTTTGTTTATTGTATCTTACAGTGCTTATTATCAGAATTTTGCTTCTCTGTTTTAGATGGTTTCATTCTTGTATGAATTCTCACTGCTGAATTTGTAGGGTGAGACTTCTTTCCTGTCAGGGCTGCCTGTAGTTGTGGCAGTAAAATGAGAACAGATACAGGAGGCTGTCACTCACATTTTGTAGTTTGAAAACTTCTGGGTGGATTGTTTTAAGGTAGCATTTCTGATTCTAAACTGTATGATTTATTCATAAAAGACTTCCAGTTTGCAGTAGGAATTCCCTTAATAAATTAACTCCATGTTCATCTAACAGCATATATTAGACTTATATAACAGGCTTATTTTAAATGCAGCTTTAAAGGAAGCAAAACTTGTTTTAAATTTATTATTTCTTAAAGTAAGATCAGAAAAAGAAGCCTATTCTCAGACAAAGTAGATGTTGGTAGTATTATATTACTCAAAACAATGAAAGTTTGTGTAGTAATGAGAATGCCCGGTTTTGAACTGTATGGTGACTTTGAGTCGAAGGTCTTAAAAAAAGATTGAGTGTCTGTCCTTCCAAATGACTTGTAAGTGAACCAAAAATAAAATTATTTGTTTATTGTCAGAATTTCCTTTGGCAATAGGAGCATGTGCCCAGAACAGAGATAATAACTAATTAAAAGGTCAGGCTTCAGAAGACTTGGCCAAAACCCAGCTTTTTCTGCTGTCTGTATTTTTTGGTTTTGTGTCTGGATCAATAACATTTCAAGCCACTCCACATAAGAGTGAAAATCCTTACAATTCTTCCAAGCTCTGAGAGGCAGTGATTTGGGGATTAAATATTGCTGTATCATGAAAATAACAGATCTCAGTAGTTTAATAATTTGAAAATGGCACTAATCAGGGGTATCACTACTCCAGCAGTATAATTCTCATGTAATACTGAACAATTATAATAAAGTATTTTCCATTGCTGCAGAAGGTGGATCAAATGGATTGGATTTGGGGCTGGATGAAATGAATCAGTTTAGAGTTAATATATGTAGTTTATCTGTTCAGTTTGGACCAGCATTATTATTTCTGATTCCTACGAGACAAATCCTCCTTTTTTAAAGCAAAAAGAAAAAACACCCAGAAGTTAAGGTTACAGGTTTCTGGAACTGTGTCTTGTCCAAAATTAAAAGTTAGAAATAGGATAGATGAAAATAACAAACCCTGTTGTTGAAGTTTCAACATGTGCTTAAGCACAGTTTTCCATGTAATTATCTGTTTCTTGGTGCATCTGTTTTCCAGCTGAGCTCCAAGGACTGAAGATCAACTTTCATGTAAACCTAATGCAGAAATATATTTATTTTTATATTTTGAATTTAGCCAAATTGTTCAAACAAGAAAAGGTATTTGCTTCTTTGTTTCACATTTAATATTTACTTGGCTTTTTAATTTTTATTGACAGTTTGCTTGCATAGTTAGTAAAAGGAAAACTGAGGGGATCACAAGTGAGTCACTGTTTCTATCCAAAGAAGATTAAATGCAATTGACTTTGAAACTGGTGCCTTGATGCCATATTTGTGTGATTTTGTTAATTTAGTTTTTTAATTTATTTTATTTGTGTGAAGCAAATACCATTTATGTGAAAGTTTAGCTGGGAATTGGGAGAATTCCTTACATAGGGAAGCTATTTTAGTGTGAGTAGAAAATGAATCAAGCTTGTTATTTGCAGCAGTACCAAAGGATGTTAAGTTAGCACTAAGAAGGGGAAGAGGAATATTTTTTTGTCCCAGTGGCATCGTGCAGGGTTCCACTGCTCAGTGTTCTGAGACTAATTAATCAGTAAGGGTGTCTAATTAAAAAGATGACTGTTCACCAGCTGCCACAGCAGGCTGGTTAATGGACTGAAACATTAGAGTATTTTTGTAGGAAATATTTGTGTTCAGAATGGTGCATCTGTTTGTCCTGATTGAAAATGAGGGAGTTTAGGCTTCTGTAGTGAGGAATAGCTTGGGGGTTTTTTTGTGTGTGGGTTTTTTTGGTTGGGGTTTGGGGTTTTTTCATTCTTTATTTATTTTTACTTTTATTTCATCTCCTTACTAATTAGGAGTTGTCTCCCTTGACTTTTGAAGGAAATAGATACCAAGGATGGCATAGCAGTATGCTAAGCAATTATGAAAGATCAATGAACATTATAATAAAAATGTGATTTTTTTTTTTCAGTTGACTGAAAAGAGAAAGAGCTAATACCTGTTACTTTGCTTTTTGAATGAGGCACTTGGGTATTAGGCAAAGTAATTCTGAAGGAGCTGATCAATTTTTCTGAATTTCCTGTTTCTTTTAAATTCAGTATGTTTAGGCAGTTTCTGTATGTTTTCAGTATGTATGTACAGGCCCACCTTTTCTTAAAGGATGAGGATAGGATGACTGTTACTTAACTCTTCTCTTAAACTGAGAGAATTCATTTCATGGCAAGTAGATTCTAGATATTTTTATAAAGTAATGTGGTTTGTAGAGACAAATCAGCTCATGCTGGTTGGAGTGATGGGAAGCTTCATTTTTGGTGTAAGCTGCTCTGTTGGTACTGACAGTTACAGTCACCTACTTTGAAATATTTTAGTGGTGCTGCAACACTGTGGGACAATAAAGTGCATATGAACTGAAAATACTTACTGGAAATCAGTGAAAAATTATTGTCTCTGAAGAGCAGAAGTTGATACAATTTTACTTCTTTAAATAGCTTAATTTAAATTCAGACTTCAGATAAAAGGTTTAGTTTATGATAAATGTACCAGGGTACCTAGTTCCACAGCAAATGTTAATATTACTCTTACAAACTCAGGAATAAAATGCCCCTAAGGTGAATTTAATTTGCCAAGTTTTAATTCATTTAGCACTCATCTGGAGAAAGTCTTTCAATTTTGTGTGCACAAAAGGGAAAATCTTATGCACAGTCTTCATCTTCAAAGGAATTAATCAGTTTAATGACAGGTCCCTTCAGGAAATAAAGGGAGGGCATCAATTAGTAATTTTTATTTTTGTGTTATTTAAATTTTAATGTCTGATACTTGAAGTAGAAAATATCGCCAGTAGTATTTTATTTTCAGGTCCTGCATAAAATTATAAAATATTCTGCTGCATTAAGAATTTTCCGGCAGTTTCTTTTCCATACATAACCACATATGAGAACACGCAAATAACACAATATAATCCCTGGCTCTTGAGGTGATGTGTGATCTCTCTGCCCTGAAAGTCACTTCAACTGGCACTCTTATTCTGAAGGGTGGAGTAGAAATGAGATGTGCATGTGCCCTCTTGGAGTCTATGTTCTGTTTTGTCTGTGTGAATTTACAATCTGTTATCTGCAAACCAGGGGTGCAGAGCTGCCCATCATTTCAAACAGCGATAAAACCAAGGGTGTGTTGTCAGTATTATGGCCTGAACAGGTTTAAACGATGGTTCCTGGAAGAAATGATATTACACCAGATAATGTCATAAGCTCAGGATATATGAATATTGATGCATATAACAAGTGGTTTTTAAGTAGGATGGAATTGGGATGTGTCATTGCCTCGCTGTTCCCTCAGAGTGTGGTAAGAGCTGTGAGTACTTGGCACCTCAGAGCTTGTTTGAAAATCCCTGATACTCCTTCCGAGATCAAACATAAATAGGTATTCCAGTTGAATTTGAATGTTGGTATGTGAGCTGGTGTTCAGTTTTCCTGTGGGACTAATGAGGCTAATGCTGAAAGAGCATCTGTACTAGAGACATTTTAAATCATTGTTTTCTACTCTCCTGAGTAAAACTGGATCATTTTAGAAGTTCCCTGCAGGGTGTGTTGTCTTTATGGAATTATGTGTGTATGATCTCCCCTGTTAGCACAGGGCACTGCTTCCCCGAAGCAAAAGGTTATGACTGTGTCCACTTGTCATGGGGTAGCCGACACCACTGCAAGAGCTGGGATTGCTGAGGGATGATTGTGTGTGAGGCAGTCATCATGCTCTTGGTATTCCTCTTTCCTCTCAAATCCACTTCTTCCTAACAGGCTTCTGCTTTCAAATAAAGGTTGCATAACTGGCATGCAAGGGGCTCCAGCACTCCAGAGCTGGAGCTTTAGAAACCTCAAATATCTATATTGAAGAGGCCAAACCACCTTTTCCTGACTATTAGTTGCTGATTTCAGTATGTTAATGTTTAATGCTATAAAAATTAAAGAGTGCTGTAAATACAGGAACACTAAGAGACCAAACATTTGGTGTTTAAAGTCTCTTAAAATGCCTTTGTTAACACCAGTACTGGTGGTCAACACTTCATTAAAGCGTGTTTTACCATATCCGTGGACAGCAGTTTAGAACAATTGGAATAGTAAAAACCCAGCAAGGCCTGAGCTGCATGTGTAGAATATTAAAGCATACAGAAGTGATGAATACATCACTTAAGTACATACTGGAATTCAACATAGGAGTTAATTCTGAACCTTTTTCTACCTTATTTTATGTATGACTTCATGATAAAACCCCAAATGACAGGGTTATTTGTGTGTTCTGTAGGATATTCTTCTAAGGTCCTGAACTAGTGTTAAGGTAGATTTTACAGTAATCACTTCAAAATAGATTGGAAACCTGTAGATCTTCTTTACAGTCTGTATCCATTAAGGATTTTTTTTCCTTTGCAGTGATGAGTATGGTCATATAAATTAAGAGTCTTGGCTCCTATCAGCAAGCAAATTTACAGGTGCTGAGGTAGACTAACCAGAGGGAGATTGAGTGCAGTCTGCTATTGCATATACTCTTTCTAACAATCTTTTATGTAGGTTTTTGTGGACATAGACAAATATTTTGGCAGCTAGGAATTTTTTTTCTTGCTGAGGGTTTTCATCAGTTGCTTTTTAAACTGACAGCCAAATGCTGGTGATATGGAGAGCCACATATTTTAATCATATCCTGCATATGAAAAAGCTGTCTTCAGAAGGGTGGTTTGTCTTCAAAGCAATCCAGTTTTGAAATACATCCTTTTTTCTGACTTGGTAGTACAGGATACAGCCTGCATTAAAGCTAAATCGTCATTAATGGGGATTGCAGTTTCAGACAGCGTGCTTCCCAAAAGAGGTTTCTTTTACTGCATGTTCCATCTCTTTTTTATACCCTTATGTAGCATTTGCAGGGCTGGTCACAGTAACTGTGGATTTTTATTTAGAAAATTTTCTTCTGCCCCACTTCTCTCAGAGATTCACTGTTCATGTGTGGTGTCAGGGTGAGATGGGAGCAAGTGCTGGGGCTGGACAGCATGCATGGGTGAGGCAGCCTTAGGTAGGTTAATGTAACATTGCAGTCTAATTACTTTTTAGTAATTACTCTACCTGTATGGCAGAGGAATTGAGGTACCTTTTTGAACCATGCCCCCTTTCTTTCATGAGTTTGTAAATGTAATTCCAGAAAGCTCTTTTGGTCTTTGTTGTCACTTGTCTACGATTTCCTTTTTCTTTCTGTGAAGACTCTCCAATTCTTCTTGAATGGAAATCTGAAAATAATCTGAAAATAAACAGACATTAGGAATAAAATACACCCACAAATGCTAGAATGATTATTCTTTAGTGATGCTTTTATATATGCATGTATGTGTGTTCAATGTGGAATGGCTGCCCCAATACAACAAGAATACTGATGCTGAATGCCAGCAGAGGATTTGCACAGCTGGCACTCAAGGAGTAACATTTGGATGTCTGCTCATTTTTTTGGAACTCAAAATTGTGTATTTCAGGCAGCCATGCACTTGATTAAGTTTAGGCTATTACACAATGAGGAAGTTAATTTCATAGAAAGCTCAGAGCAGCAGTTGCTGGTTGCCTTTTCAGGACTGTCTGCAGTGTCTGGTTGAGTCAGCAGCAAGCCTTGGAAACAGGCAGCCGGGCTCCTTTAGCCCAAACAGAGACATATTTCTGAAACTGGGATTTAAACTCTCGATATTCCCATGTCTAAGACTTACCCTTACTCCTGAAAATATATGTAGAGTGAGAATTGTACATGAAGTTCCCTTTGCAGAAGCTGTTGAATTGGTCATAGATCCATTAGGTAAGATATTTACCTGCATAATTTGCATTTCTAGAAATGCTAGCTTCACATGATTGAGAAGGGATGAGTTAACTGTGCATCCAGCCTCAAGGAGTAATACTGGGACTGGTGAAGCAAAACTACAGAAATACACTTGAATTTTCAGTGTTAGCCTTGTTGCACAGCCCTGTGTATTATTTGAATTTCCAGTGTACATCTGATTTTTTGCTGCAATAAGGAATGAATCTGTTTCATGTCCGTTTAGTGCAAGTGAAGAGTGAAGAGCCTGACTTTCACCTATATTTTTGGCTATTCTGGTTCTGCTCACTGAAAGCTCTTGTGGATTGTGGTGAGAGACTTTTCATGTGGGTCAGAAAAGAGTTACGTGTACTGCTAGCAGCAACCCTTATTTTCAGTGCAGTGAAGCCAAAATAAAAGGCACATGCTGTGTTAAAATAACAGCTTATGCTGGGATCTCCCAGCACATGCTACATACATGGTTTAAGTGCAAATATTTCCACTACAAGTTACTGTTTCTAGTCATAATTTCTGAAGTATCTGTTAAATATTTTGCTTATTATTAATTAAGGCTTGTCTCAGTATGGCTTTTTGGAATATTTCATGGTGCACACAGTTAATTTCAAATAGAAGTAGCAGTTTTGACAGTGAGAAATAATGGATAGGAGAAGAGTTCTCTGAGATTGTTGTGGAAGTGCTTGTATAATTAGGAGCCCTGTAATGATTATCAAGGACATATCACAAATGTAAAGAAGTTATAATCTTGTGGTCATAGGCATCTTTTTAATTCCATACATACAAAGAGAAAAAACTCTTCTGCTTCAGACAAATTTTGCTACTTCCTAACTTTTCAGTATTTAATTTAAAATCATTAAGTAACCTTTATCATGGAATCCTAGAATGGTTGGGGTTGAAAGGGACTTTAAATTTCATCTTCAGTCCACCCCCTGCCATGGGCAGGGACAGCTTCCACTATCCCAGGGTGCTCCAAGCCCCATCCAGCCTGGCCTTGGACAGTTCCCGGGATCCAGGGGCAGCCACAGCTTCTCTGGGCAGCCTGATATATTTTATGGATTTAGATAAGGTCACTAACACATCAGATAATTGGTAAAAGGTGTTTGTTTCTTCCTTATGACTGTGAGAACTTGCAAGTGTACACTTGCAAAGTGTAATTTTTTACTCACTTTGAGATGTTCCCTTGCATTCCTTAGAGTTCTCTGGAATTGTACTAATTGTGATCGCTAAAGCAGAATCTCTCCCAAAAAACCCAACCTCTATTTGTCTCTGAAGCTCTTTCTGTAAATTGAGTCATAGAAGTTACATTTTAAGCCAGCAGAATGTTTGATTATTCTACTTTTGACTGCCTTTAAAATTCTAGTTGCCATAACAACTTTATTTCTTTATTTTTAGCACATCAGTTGCCATAACAATAAAATATAGCTTTTTGAATGTAACCATTTTTTCCTTATTTTTCTTTGCTTTGTTTTATCAAGAACCTTCTTTGGGGGTGAAAGGAAATGTGCTAAAGCTCATCCCTTGTGAGCACTTGGGTTAGAACATTATCTGAAATATATATATATATAAATACATATTATATATTATATATATTATATATATTATATATATATATTATATATTTTTTTATTGTAGCCTTATTCCATTTCTATGGCATTTTTTCTGACTACTGAGGTTTTTCATAACTTTGACAGAAAAATGAATGTAAATACCTTGTGTAAAACCATTCCTTTGTAAAAAATTGTTGTTTCTCCTTCTTATTTCTTTTAGGTAGCGTATTAGAAAACCTTAACTGTTAAGAAGGTAATTTCTGATATCTTTATTTTAATATATGGAATGGCTATAAAGTCACTGAGTTAGAGGTAGTGTTTCATTCAGCATGTTGATGTTCCATGTTTGGGGCAGTTTGATGTGATAGATCTTGAAAATATATCAAAGAAGAGATTGACTTCCAGCTTCATGCCATAATCTTGAGCAGAGGGGAGAGGTTTATGTGTGAATTGAATATTGGTGAAAGAGGTTTATGGATGCTAAATCTGAACCACAGTGCCTGTACAAATTGCAGGCCGCATGGCTCCTCAGGCTGCCTGAGAAAGTATCCTGGGAAAAATATGAGAAGGAATTAAAACAATTCTCAGGGACACTAAACAGCCTTGCAGGTGTTGTTTTGCAGCCTCTTGTTTCTCCTTGCAGGAGAGAGTCAGAGGGGCAGAGTGCCCCTGACCAATGATGGTGATGTAGCACTTTGTTAACCAATAAGAGTTTCCTTTCTGTACTTTCCACGTATCTGTCTATAAGACAGGGCTGAAGCAATAAACTAGGAATTCTCGTGTTGTGACTCCCTTGAGAGTCCAGTGTTGTTCTTTCTAGCCGTTCCCAATCGGAGCGACATCTGGTGACCCCGACGTGATGTTGAACCGACCCCTGAGGTCTGGTGACCGCCTGACGTGAAGCTGAACCGACCCCCGAGGTCAGAAAGCAACCGACGTGATTTCTGCTAATCCCCTGAGGGTAAGCAGCGAGCGGGAAAAAGCTCTCCCGGGCTTTCCTAGAGGAAGCTGGTTCTGGAAACCAACGGGATAGTGGAGCTCTGCCAGTGAGCGGGCTTGGAACGGCTGCCAGTGAGCGGGCTTGGAACGGCTCATCTTGGTGAAGCAGAGCTCAAAATTCCCGTGTCTGAGCCGACAGCGTGTGCATAATTGCATTCGCGAAGCCGCCAAGATAAAGTCCTCATAATGGGGAACTGTACTTCAGCTGATGAACAGCTTGCTTACCTTGCATGGCAGGAAGCCCTGCCCCGCATGGGGCTCAGTGTTTCTGAAGATGCCATGCGTGCTTTATTTCAGTGGGTGAAAGAGCAAGGTTTTGATATAACTATGCCTTTGATCTCGAACTTTGGCTGTCGATAGAGAACCATTTATGGTCAGAATTCATTAATGTAGATATCAGCGTGTGTAGCCTGGCAGCCACCTGGGGAGTGCTTTTTAAAGCGAGATATCAGCGTGTGTAGCCTGGCAGCCACCTGGGGAGTGCTTTTTAAAGCGCTGAAACAGAGCCAGTCTGAGGACAGTGAAACCGGGATGAGAAACTTTGATGCCGAAAGTTCCTCCGTTGTACAAGATAAGGGACCGGGAGATGAAACCGTGGGTGAGCTGCATAGTGCTCTTTTAGCTCTGCCCAGACCCTCAGAGGACTTTGGCGGCGAGCGGGAGCAATCTGTGGCCCGAAAATCTCCCTCTCCAGAGCAGTCTGAGCAGCCGCCATCCGCGGAGCTCGGCGCGTGGGCTTTGCCAGCAGAGGAGCCTCTCTTCAGCCCTCCCCGCGCCCGGCGCGCGGGGCCCCGCCAAGGAGTCCGAGCGCGGGTCCGGAACACGGCGGGCCGCCGCCACCGCCGAGGG